CATTATATTATGTGTTCCTTCTATTAGTTTTTGGTTTAAGGCTAAACCGCAGTCGGTGTGTGGCCGCAGGTATATATATATTAGTCGTATGACGAGTGTATTGGGGTTTCGGGTTATTTGTAAAGTGCATTATTGATCGGCAGATGATTTGGCGATTTGAAAGGTTATTATGTGTACGTTTCGCTAGGATATGAGTACGATTCTTGCCTCTTACATCARTTGTATATAGGTATGTAAAGAATATGGACGGGGATAGCCGTGTCCGTTGCGTGCGTACGGTAATTCGTCGTCGAGAACAGGATTTCTTCTCCGGAATTAAAAATAATCCTAATCGTATGCGAAATAATAATAATATTGTATTATGGTATCGCGTACCTATATATTCGCGGGTTTCTGTTCGACTCCGGTGCAGTACCGCTCGCTTTCATTTTACCCACCTGCATTATATTCATACACAAACGGAACTACTAAACTATAAATCTTGACGAAAGTTGGTTGTTTTTTTTTAATTTCATATACATGTATATATTTTTTAGTGGCTATTCTACCTAACTCTACTAATTTATTATGTTGTATAAAAAGAAAAGAAAACACTGCAGTGTGCTGTTAACTGTACACGCCATAGAGAGCACATTAAATAGAATATATATACGTGTTGTATAAATATATATATATGTAATAAAAATAAAGAAATGGTTCTTCGTAAAACAAAATTTTTTAGGATTATTATTATTTGTTTCGATTATACGAAACTGGCAAATTGTAATATTGTTGTTATATGGTAGCCGTGTCTCAAGTGTTATTCATTAGTATAATGAATAATAATAATACGCGTCAACGGATGTTGTACCTGCACAATTATAATATTATTGTAATAAAATATCGCATGTTTAAAAGACAAAAAAATGTATTTTTTACGGTACTAGAATTTATCTTACGATATTGTTTGAGAGTACCTAGAAATCATTGTGTACATATTATTATGAAAAGAACTCAAAGCAATGCAGAAAATCCAATTTRATATTGTGTATTCTTTTAAATTAATTTTTAAATTATTTTTTTTCTACCATCTAATATTTATTTTTTATTTTTTTTATCATGCATTGGTTTCAGTGAATACTTACTTAATAAAATATATCACTGTTTTTAAAATTTTATGTTAAGTTTTATCGAGTCCCTTATGGAATCATTTTTATTTCATTTAAATAAAATAAGATAATATTTTTGAAACATTTTTAGAACATCTACATTTTAAGATTGAACGATTTTTATAGTTTGGAATGAATAAAACACATCTAAGGTTAAATTAATTACTACTTTTAAAATTGTTCTCCTGGGACTAATGAGTAGTCAATTTAAATTAGAAAACTATTAATATTGGTATGAAAACAATTATTTCAATATACATGGTTTATGTTGAATTTTTTTCTACAAATAACGCACATTGTTTTTTCAATAATGAAGTGAACCTATTGAATATGCTCTCAATGATTTTTGTTGATTATGTATCAAAATAAATCATAGAATAATCGATTATTTGATATTTGTCTTTACACTGCGAATCTAAATTTTGAAATCGATTGCAATTTTAAACGGCCGTATTGAAATTGAATAATACCRTAGTATATATGTTGAAATAAATAGATTATTATGACAACAATTATTATTTAACTGTAATTAGCTAMAATCTGTATGTGTGTATGTATGTAGGTAATACGGTTCAAATGTGAAAAACAATAAGTGTAAAAAACTATTATAAATCGATTCATTTATTTTATTTTATCACTAGTCGATTTAATCATTATATTCCTGATGTTATGTTTATTTTATTTTTTTGATAATATGTTTTGTTAGTACGTACCTACCTACAATCGTAAAAATGTACCTAAACACTTTTTTTAAATCGTAATAAAATTGTGCACACTTATTAAAAACTTTTATTATCAACTACTTTCACGTTTTCGTTCCAAATATCTTTATTTTGTCTTCTTTTAAAGAAGTCATAAAAGTAACGTTCGCTTTATCTATCGTTAAAAAAAAAAAAACCATATAATGTTTTTATTTCTTTTTTATTATAAGCTTTAGGTTCTAACCGTTGTCTAGTTTTTGATGTTTTTTTTTTTATTTATCGTTATCATTATTATTATTTCTTGGGAGTGTTCCAATTGGGTTATCAATTGATAGGAGCATTATTATTATTTCTATGATTTATGGAATTTAACTATTGTGCATACGGTTGAATAATATTATTTGTATTCCTGAACTTTAACAAATAATAATATGTATCGACATAACTATGTTTAATATATTATATTTCAAAAGACTTATTAGCGTAAAAGTTTTAGTTTGTTCATTATGCATTAAAACTAAGAGAGTCATTCACTTTATGGAGACTGTGAATGTTGCTCAATTTATCCCTGGACCCTCTTCTATGTTATTATAGTACTTAAAAACGACGATATAATACTTATATCATACTCATAGTAAACTATTGTATATAACGACTGACGTATTTATTTTTTTCTTTAAATTGTCACAAACATTTTAACGAGACGATATTTTTATAACCATTACAATTGTATTTTTTCAAAATACGTATTGGTATACACATACAGTTTTTCGTGGTTTATAAAATGTTTATGGTCTCAGACGTTCTTTTCCCGTTGACATAATGATATTATAAGAGCAAGAAGTAATGATTTACGGGGTTACCAAAACGTCGCACTTGCATTGTTGTCATCGTTTTAGTAGCGATTAAAAGATTGGAAGATGATGGAAGCTCGAGCACGTAGAATTTTAAAGATTCAAGACTTGATAAGCTATAAAAAAAAAAGATGACGAACGCATAAAATAATGACCAGTGAAGAGGAAAACAACGGTCTGGGTCAAGAGTGTTATATCAACACAAAACGGGTAGAAAGACGCAATTGGCGAAGGATGAAATCATAAGGATAAATATAATGGTGTCATAATAATATTTGAATGTGTGAACAAGTTATGCTGCAGTAAATTATATGACTYGCTRGCGACTAGTATTGAAAATTATAATCAAAAGTTGAATCTAGTTCGTTTGTATAAATTTCGGATATGAATAATAATTATGTCAAAATGTCATCATCTTAATATTTGGATCTCTTTGGTTAGAAGCCTTATTACTACTGTTGTAAAAAGTACTTTCAAAACCCTATTAAGATACAAACATTCAGGAATTATTTATATTTACATTTCAAGTATTTTTTTCATTTTATTTAATTGATTATAGAAATAAWATTATACTCATTCAAAACTGTTATATCACACTTYAATAGCATTAGAATTTATAGCATTGAACTACAAATTTAATTTTATACTAGAAAATAAAAATCCTGAAATACTTACACATCAATTAAAAAATAAACTAWTGTTAATGAAATATAAGATAAATTAATATTGTAATGAATATTTATTAATTTTATTTTAACTACGAATAWTATGATATAGTATTACGATTATTAGGAATAATTTGTAGCGTTGCGAATAATTCTTYTGTATTTTGAAAAGAATTTATATAAAAGTATTTGATTTTTATAAATACTTCCGAGACAGTATTTAAAATAATTCTCAACTTAATTTAAAAAGTATTCTATATATTATAAAATTATTTAAATACATTTACTCAAATACTCAAATATTTTACAAGGCTGCTTATTAACTGGCATACTGTATATGCTGAATATATATTATTTTTTATTATTTTTGAGCTTATTGATGCCTTATGAGTGTTTATAAGTGTGTGAATATTGTTTTCTTATTTTTTTTTTTTAATTTGCATAACGTTTATTTAAAATTCTGCTTTTGTTAAATTTCTACTTAAATTGAAATATACAATGTAACATATATATATATATGTCTAATTGTTATTGTATCGAATAAAAATATATCAGAGCTTTATACTGTCGAGGAATAAAATGTTCTTGGAAATAAAACTTGTTTTTTTACTTTTTTTACTTGTCATAATAGGAGTACTATCCTAATTATTCTGTTCTGGGAAATAGTAACCCAAAAGTTACAAAAATGAGTTTCTTAAGTAAAATTAGATGTTTAATTTTTATATGAAAACACATTTTTTGAAATTTTGTTTCATTTTTATCGCATGTTAGATAGTCTATTAAACAATACATTATTCGCATATTATATATTATAGTTTGGAAAAAAGTTGGCGTTTACCTCCTGTAGAACACAAATTAGTCATCGGACCTCCGTTCTCAGGACGCTTTTTGATCTTCCTGATCCGGTCGTCTTGCTGTTGCTGCAAGTTCTCAGCATCTCCTCCAGCACCGGAAGTCCGCCGGCTGCTAGTGCTGCTGCCCCGCCTGCCACCCCAACCGGCTGACTTGTTGCAGTAGATTACAGCAAAAATCATTATATTGAGAAACAATAGGGAACAGCCAATGCCTATGGCCACTGCTAAGGCCAGCGGAAACGTCTGATACGCAGTGCCGCCTCCACCTCCACCACCATTTAAGTCATCCTGGCCGTCGGTACCCAAAGATGATCGACTGCCGCCTTCGCCATCATCTTTTTCGCCACTTGGCCCGTTTTTGAGCTGCCGGCCTCCACTACCACCAATGCCTTCTTCATTGTCACCATCTCCGCGATCCGAAGAMGAGGAAGACGCCACCACGACCGGTGGAGGCTGTAGCACGTTCGTCCCATTGCCCGTCCCGCCGTCGGACGACCCGGAAGTGGTCTTATTTCCTGTCGTGGGCTGTTGCATTATGGCCGGTGGCTGGCCGGAACCTCGGTAGTACACGTCCGGAGCTGGTCTGTTAGTCGACCTCTCGGAACCCTATGATCGACAATAAATAATAATTATTTTCATAATCATATTTGTTGTTTATTATTTAATTTAGAATCAAGTAAATATTATTTCGGGAAAACAAACAATTTTCTGTTTGATACCGGATTTTGTYTCTGTCTCATTTCAAAAAATACATAACTATAATAATGRTGTGAAAAATGAATCCACTTAAACGCTGAGGTGTAGTGAAATTGCATATCCAACACGCCGTGTTATAATTATCGATGTGYATAACAAAAACTACATGAATTTGATGAGATACTAGAAAATAAGAACCTTATGGTATTACAAAAGCAGGTATAAAAAAAAGTAACTTCGTTAAGTCCGTACACTTTAATACCATATACACAAGACACTCTTATTACGATTCAAGCGCTTTGTATAATTAAATACAATGGTTACAATATATTGACTTTAAAAATTTTTTACAATAAATGCTTATGTATAACATGAATATATTTTATATTGCACTGAATAAAAATACATTTAACAATTGTTAGATTCAATAAGAAGCCTATTAAAATAATATTATTAATTAAATTATTTGGATGACAGACACACATATAAAGTTATGTTTGTTTTAAAAAACAAAACGCATTATCTACAGTTTTTAAATGTTTCTGTGATCGAATAGTTATAAGTATTTATCACTACTAATTAATTGTGCTAATTTCTAAATGTCAATATAATTTTAAAAACAGAATATGCTAAAATGTCAAATGTCTTTACAGTTGTTATACTTGATTTTATTATCTATTTGGAATTTTAAAAATTAATTTTTATTTCGAAATATCTGGTTAATTATATTTTTACAACTATATTATTGAGATTAATGTATTTGTTAAAACACTAAAAACCAATCAAAATTAATGATGTAAATGAATGAATCTTCAGGTATAAAATTTCAATTAATTAAAATTATTATGGTTAATATAACATACTATACAGGGTTCGTAAACACATAAAAACGTGAATATTAATGATTTAAATATTGAAAGTAATAGTAACTTAAGATTAAATATAAAACATCGACAAATAAAAAATATATATACATCTCCTGACTTTGACAAGGTATTTGAACTTTTTTAAATACTCTCAATAATTAAAAACAATAAAACTTAGACCATCAAAAAATAAATGACCATCAACTAATTTCGATATTGTGATTGATTGTTATATTATTTGGTATTTGATTTACATATAAATACCATTCAAATTACCTATTATAATGRAATAAGTGTATACTATAATTTTATGTAGGCCATAAATTCGTAAAGTTAACAAAAATTATGATTTTATTTTATTCATAGAACGGTTTGAACATAATATTTTCATTTAATGTATGTATCATCGCAAATTCAATTCAAATGTTCTTTATTAATCAATTCAAATTTTATCAATGTTTCATTCAATTATTTATTTGACCCGATACTTTTAATAGTTTAAATTCAATTTGAAAAGTTATTCAATCGCTATGAATACAATTATAAAAATTGTAACACGTAAATGAAAATCCATATTTAAAAAAAAATATTAATATTTTTTGTAAATATTTGTTAATCAGGTTAATGTAATAAAAATAACGAATATGGTTTAGTGTAGTTTAAATTCAGTAAATATTCTTACTTAATTATGTATATTATAAATTAAAATGTTGTTACCTGTTTTGTTTTTAAAACATTTTATTTTTTTTTTTATACAAAAACATATTAAATTAGATTTTTGAAATATTGTTGTAGTTATTAATTACAAAATAAATTCGTTTTAATAATAACGTTTTCGTTGAAAAAAAGTTAATAATTTAATTTTAAAATGAAATGTAGTATTCACAGGTCCATAATAATAATCGAAATTCGAACAATTTATGAATGTTAATGATTATATACGGAATTTTGTTTATTAACTTGTATATTCAGTAAAATACTTCTGGGTCTTTATTCAAAAGTAAGTTCACTTTATCCTAAGAATATATTCCATTGAAGCTTATGAAACTAACTTTCACATTCAGTCGTTGCAAACATTTCTAAACAAACATAATTTACGACAAGTATATAAACCTTCTGTGGGACCTCTTATTATTTATAGTTCGAGCTGGAGCGTTCGGTGGATTCATAATAATAAATTAGAGAAGCCGCGAAATTCTTAAAACTTTTATGGCCGGTGACTTAGTAAATGTCAGCTCCTTTTTCTCAATTAATTTTCCTTCGACCATCGCATATATAGGTGTATTGAATTTTATTTTTTAATCACCGACCGTTCATTATCGACGGTCATAACGTTTTATAAAAATTGTTTCGGGTGCGCACCGCCAGCATATTGAACTGCAATATTTTGATATTATGCGCGATCGAATACCAAGCGCTGAAATAATTTATGGACGTTAATTATAAAAAAAAAAAAAATAAAAACAGTGGCGGAAAAAAATCAATTTATTTTTGTTTTTCGTRGCAACCAGGTGTACCGATATGCCAAAGGCAATGCATTTCCTAAAGCTCAATATTGAATCGTCCATTGGAAGAGTCGAGCTATTACCCGCCATCACCCGGCAGATTAATCAATACACCGTTCCACGCGGGCTGATAGGAATAAGAGCCAAATTCGCAGACTCGCCAAAAAAAAAGAAAAAAAGAAAAGTTTATCGGCGTTTAATCGTCTATAGCTTTTGTCACACGAGTCACACTCTTCCCCTCCACAACCASCGCCACATTTATCGTCAGAAGAGATGACACTAACTACAAGATTATTGTTTCAAGACAATCAATTACGATGGTATCGGATGGAGAATATTTTCAACATACAAGGTGATCTGTAAGTGTATATAAAATACCATCGATTTAAAAAGTTTTTAAAAATTTTAATTTGATTACAATTTTACCGCTGGAATAACAAAACAATATTTCAAAATATATTTTTTTTTTTTACAAATAATTCCACATCGTTAAAAGTTTAAACTTTTTCGAAAGATTACGTGCTTTTTAAATATAATATTCCAAAGCAGAACATTTTTATGTGTATTTAATTCAATACATAAATGAGTAGATAACTATTTTACGTTTAGACGTTCAACATTTTACATCACTTTAGAAAAATTCAAAAAAAAAAAAGAAAGAATTAAGTAAAAAAAAAATATATTTTTCAAAATTGTAAGGCTTCGAAATAGTGAGTGTAAAGGCTTAATTGCATCTTGTTGTGTAAAGTACAACAATTAAATTTTTTTTTCGAATAATGTACGGGTGTATAATGCAATCTGTACAATATCACTTGAGGAGTAGGTATATAGGTAGGGTACATGAAAAAATTGTTTGTTTTTTGATATTTGTGCGTTGAATAATAAAATAGTTGTTATCGTTCCTGCGGAGTAGAAAATTCACTTACATTACGGGTGTTTTTATTCCAATGGTCTTTATAAAAATAAATTGACGGGCCACTTACGGGTTTAAACGTCATTCCGCGTAGATCGGATTGGAACATGTGATGATAATAAGGTACATCGTCGCCGGGTTTGTGCAGCTCAGGAACTAAATTCAACCAAAAGGACAGTCTATGGGCNACTACAAGATTATTGTTTCAAGACAATCAATTACGATGGTATCGGATGGAGAATATTTTCAACATACAAGGTGATCTGTAAGTGTATATAAAATATCATCGATTTAAAAATTTTTTAAAAATATTAATTTGATTACAATTTTACCGCTGGAATAACAAAACAATATTTCAAAATATATTTTTTTTTTTTACAAATAATTCCACATCGTTAAAAGTTTAAACTTTTTCGAAAGATTACGTGCTTTTTAAATATAATATTCCAAAGCAGAACATTTTTATGTGTATTTAATTCAATACATAAATGAGTAGATAACTATTTTACGTTTAGACGTTCAACATTTTACATCACTTTAGAAAAATTCAAAAAAAAAAAAGAAAGAATTAAGTAAAAAAAAAATATATTTTTCAAAATTGTAAGGCTTCGAAATAGTGAGTGTAAAGGCTTAATTGCATCTTGTTGTGTAAAGTACAACAATTAAATTTTTTTTTCGAATAATGTACGGGTGTATAATGCAATCTGTACAATATCACTTGAGGAGTAGGTATATAGGTAGGGTACATGAAAAAATTGTTTGTTTTTTGATATTTGTGCGTTGAATAATAAAATAGTTGTTATCGTTCCTGCGGAGTAGAAAATTCACTTACATTACGGGTGTTTTTATTCCAATGGTCTTTATAAAAATAAATTGACGGGCCACTTACGGGTTTAAACGTCATTCCGCGTAGATCGGATTGGAACATGTGATGATAATAAGGTACATCGTCGCCGGGTTTGTGCAGCTCAGGAACTAAATTCAACCAAAAGGACAGTCTATGGGCYCGGTAATGGCTTTTCAATTTGGGCTTCGTATCTGAAATTATATTAAATTATTGTACATTAACCATAAYGCGATTCACTCTACTCACATCATACGATATAATATTGTTACATCATATTGTCGATACACTAATTATATACATTAATACGACTGTACCTATATTAAATGTTCGAGTTAGCTATTTTTTTTTTAACTCTTTAAATATTAAGTTAATATAGAAAAATGTAGGCTAAGTTTAATCTTAAAAGTTACTTTTCTTTGGTTTTTAAACTTGTAAAAGTTTCAAGTTAAATAGAAAATTGTWGTAATTCGACTTAGTTGAATATTTGTTACATTTTTATATAAAATTTAATGTGTTACTAATTTAAAATTCTAATAAATATTATGGTAATTTAATTTAATTTAGTCTTACAGTTTTAAATAAATGTAAATATTTATACATTTTAATACTTCAATCAATGACGATATTCAAGAAATTAATTATTTGTATGTGTTTATTCACCTAATATTTCACATCCATACTAAATTATAATAATAATAAAATTCATACTGTATTAGAATATAATTAATTACCTGCATACATTATCAAATGAATCTGACAATATTAATACACTCATAAGTTACTTGATAATATAAAAAAATAAAATATAAACTCSTTAAGTTAGAAGATACTTTAAAAAAAAATWACTCGCTATGTAACTTAGTTAAAAGCTGCCTAAGCTTTTTAACTCGTTAGTGCTCAGCCTTATAAAGTATCATCCGATGATGTAACAGGAATAATAATAATAATATATTATAATATTATACTCTACCTAAACTCAAATATTTTTTATGTACGGTTTCGTATGCAGTCCATTCGATATTCTTAAACCGGCCGTGTTCTTGTTTGTGTAACATGTCCTGGTCCTGCGGCTCATTCGGATTACTGGAAATCATGCAAAAGCATCATTACTATAAAGGGTTTTTTTTCGGTATGTTCAGCAGACTACAAAATGTATAATCCATACATTATAACCGCTTAAAGTATAAATATTGGTTGGTAGCAAATGATACTAAAATATTACAAAATAATTTCTACTAAGACCAATATTTTACCCAAATTGATTTTCTGATTTTTGTAGTAATTCATAAACGAATAACCGCAGATAHTTTTTTCTCAACAAATTTTACCTATGCATTAGTTTTATTATATACTCAAASCAGAATTTGAAAAAATATTTTGACTGGTTTTGAGTTATTTATTGGTTTAAAAAAATTCTAAGTAACTACTTTTTAAAATAATCTGGAAAAAGAATTGAGCGTTTATTAAAAWTGTAATATAAATATTTGGCAACAAAGGTTACCAATAGGGTTGARGGGTGGATATTTTTATGAGAAAAAAATTAGCTTGATCAAAATGCTTTAAAATTTAAAATAAGATTCCTYATTGAGTATCGCATTAGATGAATTAAAAAAAAATGTGGCTGTAATTCTACAAATATTTTATACCTTACGTAAAATAAATAACAATAATAAAAGTGGTTTGGTTATCTTCAATTGCGAAAACGCTCTGAGTGTACGTACTAGCTAGTGTTTCTAGCTCCTGGATGGGTGACCATACGGGTTTACAACAACAGATCTTTGCCATATATACAATGCGCATGTTCCAAATCAACCGTTCTCTTTTATAAATAGTTAATGGCCATAGCTGCAGGGCTTATAATCATCTTACATTGAAATATATGCGATAAAAATATATCCTTATTACTTAATAATATAGAATTTATCGTTAGTAACTTTAGGAGATCACACATTGCAGTGACTTATTCAATAATGATGTATAAAGAACACCATTATAGYACCATTTATTACTTATTGAAAATAAAGACAAAATTAAGAAAAKATGAAAATTCCACCGAAGAAGAGATTATTTTGGATATGACCCTTATTGATGTTTTAAGGCAAATACATTTTTTTTTTAATCTCTTCTTCTTGATTGATATTTAGATACGTAACTAACTGGCTATTACTATTRGTTTAATTTTCCTTCAATAGTTTCGAAACCTTAACATTAGTTAATAATTAGTTAGTATTTTAGGTTTTATTTATTTATTTATTTTTTAATTCACTTATTTTTCTAACATTTGTTTAACTCGTGATTTTAACAATRGTATTAAGAAAAAGTAAATAAAATAGCAATAATAATAATATATAACTCGTAAAAAAAGAAATTAAAATATAGAGAATAGAAATTAGACTTGATATTTTCATTGAATCGTGTTTATGCTGGTAGTGTTGAGGCGCCATGATGCATAGAGTACGTTACTATTGCAATAAAAAAGAGCAGAGAATAAATGAAAAATACCTATAAACCATTGGATCGACGACTAGTAAATAATAATATTAAATTGTCTGCGGGTAGATCAATGCGTACAGTATATAATAATATGACCTACTTATCGGAGCGGAGATTGGATAAAATAATAATAAAAATAATAAAAGTGTTGGAAACACTGTTTACGGGAACTAGGATTTTTTTATTCACCCTTCTTATTTTTATTTTATGCTAATAAAATATATATACCCCGTCCGTGCAAAATTGCTCCAGTAAATAACCGCAGCCTCGGAAAGCAGGACTTCTGACTTGGTGTAATTCTTCGGAAAATGCATCAATCCCCCTACCAGTGGTGCACCGAATATGTATGGCAGTTCTTCACCGTGGATACATCCTTGTCTCTGAAACAAAATCAGATAAATTACAATCGTTTGTTGTTTTCAATTACAGTATAGTGAATTTACACTTGGCTATTTTGAAATKATTTTCTTTATCTCTTAACTATATATCGATTAACAAGTCGAAGAATTAAAACACATGGATAATGGTTAGGTAATCAATTAAATATTTATATTTCGATGCTCATATATGTCTTGTTTATTTAATTAACGTTTCAGGTTATTTCCCAAGCTATCAAAACAATAACAGTTAAAATATTCAACAACAATACGGTACCATAATTCAAAGTAGAAAAAAAAACAGATGAATGTTTATGTTTTTCCTAATCCCCAATAGACAGATAAATAGAAAATTGGGCTGTTAAAGAAATGTAAGCTATTTGAGTATGAAAATGAGTTGAGTTTCTGGTCGGGAATGTAGGAAATTTTAAAACTTATCTTGCTTAATAAAGATGGGAAATCAACATAATAAAATAGGAGTTATGCAGATTGGCCTTGAGACTATATATTATACACTAAGCATTTGACTGATTGAAACGTAGTTATGGGGGCTTGGGATATTTAAAATAAAGGCATTATAACGGAAAAACATTATCTGAACACTTTTAAACATAAGAAAGTTAGAAGAAGTATACGGGTCCCAAAGTAAAAATCTATATTTGAGTAAAGTCCCCTAGCAATGGAATAGTGGAGAGTTTCAAAAGTTTAAGATTGATTATTGTTATAATATATGGCCTAACTCAATAGTTTATTYCAACACGATAACATTTTTGACCAAAATCTATATTATCCAGATGAAATATTTATTTATGAAACATTTAGTAGTAATATTGTGTCGAATAAAGCAAATTTTTTAAAATTTAATTAAAATATGAAAATTCTGAACTAAATAATATTATTTTAATAATAATATTAATAATATTTTTATTGGTTATCTCAAATTTTATTTTTAAAACATCCATAAATATTGTTTAATATTGTTTGATTACTATTCTGAAATCAATTTAAAAAAAAAAAAAAATGTTGGGTGAAAACAATGTATTGTACTCGAAGTAAAATTATCCATCAATATCATATGAATGATACAATACATCATAATTATTTTTGTGTATTTGTATAGTAAGACAAATTATATGATTTTTTTAATTACACATGCCTATCGTCGTATATTGTTTAAGGTTTTCAATTTAATTTAATTTTTGTCACGCCGTTTCATTCGGTGTGAGCACGAATAACATTTTTGAGATTTCTCATTTTTCAATTAGCTGATAAATGGCATAATAGTATTACCGTAAAACAAGCTTAAAATCTAAAATTTATATTTTTATCCCCGCCGTATAATACAGCGTATTATTAATTCATCCGCTAAATAATTCTTTTGCAATAATAATATGATACATWTTGTACGAATMATATTATATCCTCTCTCGGGAATTAATTTTCTTTCATTCTGTGTTTTGCATACCATGCTATTCCGCAATGTAGATCTGCGTTTTGTATTTTTATAATTTATTTAGTTTGTGGCTTAAAAAAACTAAATAAATAAACAGCCATTCCAAAGTTGACCCATATGCAGTGATTTCACGGTCCAGTAAAGCGACACCTCGACCAAGACATCGGAGGAATTTGTTTGCAAAAAAAAAAATGAACATCATCCGTATAAATCCAATTAAATAGGGGGTTTTAAGTTTTAACAGATTGAAAGTGATTACGAAATGGTTTTCATAAGGAAAATGTTCAACGTAATATACCTAAATGTAGTTAAAGTGGTTTTCTGMGTATTGCGACATTAACGATTATAATAATTCTATTATTCAATATTATTATACTATATACACTACTCGTCTAATGGGAATTAACTTGTTTAAATTGTAAAGGAACGTGAATAATTATATTTTCCCGTCCAATCGCAAGCGTGGAAACATTTTCGGAAACGTTGAGCGTATAAACTATAATATTATTATAATATAAGCATTAATATCAAATGTTTTTTTGTGVAATTTATGTTAATATCAAGAAATATTAATAATGCTGATTGAATTAATTTGTTTCTTAYSATATCAACATATTATCATGTCCGAGAAATTTTTCTAAACCTGATTTAAAATTKCATGTTCCTCGTAAAGTTATTATTATTTCAATGAAAATTAAAATCGTTTGTAAGTTACAGTTGTTTTTCAGTCCATTAGCTTTTTGTTAATAAAAGAAGCTCCTTGGTTTATTACAAAAGAATCATTCTACAGAGATCTCTAGACATAACATTTTCCAAGACTCAATTAAACAAAAGATTCCACATATCATACCGTCGAACAACCCAACTTCCATCATCAATACTATGTCCACTATTTATAGCCATCCATAGAAATATTCAACTTCGTATCAAATGCGATTAGCATAGAGATTTGGTCTTAATTTTAATCGAAATTAAATTAAGAGATATAATTACTGTATTACTGCATTTTACAAGAAATAAACAATGAAAAAAATAAAAAAAATAATATAAAAAAAGTATCATATTTTTAATTCTGAGGTGTCGTTGGTGAACAGGTTGAAAATATCTTTATAATAAAATAAAATACAAAATAATATAGTTAAAATAATAATGTAAACAATTGAGGTAAATTATTTATAAATAAGATACTCATTATTGGATCTTTAAAATTATTTAAATTTAATAACCTATGGTTTTTGTAGATTAATAAAACACAAAACCAATTGTCAAACACAGGAGATATTGTTTTCACTAAGGAGCCCTTCTCTATGGTATTTTCGACGAAATTGGATTTCYTGAATTTTTCTAGTCAAGCGTATATCATTTAATAAAATCAGCCCTTTCAATTTTCGTATTTTTTTCGCATATCAGCATCGATCTATTGTTACCTATAATGGGCCTTTCATTCAAAATCTTTTGATTCTTGAAAACTAAATCTATACTCCTTTAATCAGTGATTGATCAGCCATACGTCTTTATTATGTTTTATTTGTTTTGAGACTGRTCGCCTCGTGCGGGAAACACGACCAGGATATTATGACTCAAATGTATGCATCGAGTTTTTTTTATACTTATGACGTGTTATAGTGGTTTTTACATAGTTTTTAACGTTTTAACTACAATTGTGCCAGCAATGTGTGACAGCTACGTCTTTTGGTTGAAAAAAACAAAATTAAGATTTACTAATAACTATTTGGAGCTTAATTTAGSTAGACTGTACTGAGCAACTTAAAATTTTTTTAAACTTAATACTGTAAAAAAAAATAAGTTACATAAAAGTTAAAATATAAATTTTTATTTGGTTAAGCTAAAAAAACAACACTTAACTAAACTAAAAGATACAATTTATATTTTCTAGTTAGTAGGTACCAAAAATATTGTGCATACATAGAAAAGCAAATCCTAATATTTTTCTCATCGCGATGCAAAATAGTATTAACGTTCGATATGGATGAAGGAAGTTATTGACTCTTTTCGTGACTCTTCTTCCAATCTATCAAATTTGGAAATATAGTTAAATAGTCTGACCCATTATCTSTGTACCATATATTATTGTGTTAAAATGTTGTACTTATTTATTCGATACAACAATACGGGTAAGGAAAAAATGTTTAAAAAATCAAAATAATTTACGAAAACAACAATAGTAACTACTCGGCTAAACGAAATCTAAACTAGTAGGTTAGGTTAAGTAACCGTCAATACCTATATAGTCCAATAACTATCAATCAAAAACAGAAATAAAGTTTTTATACATAATTTAAATTACTTATATAAGAAACGCGAGTTATGATCAACTCGGCATTTATACAAATATTAATTTTACAGACTTCATACTTTTAGTTTGTTTTTACTCAATTGAAAGAATAAAAATAAATTTGTTTTACATCTAAAGAAATATGAAAAAAAAAATCAACTAAAACTTGCATAATGTATTTTTTCTACTCGCTATACAAACACAATATAATTTAAAGGTTATGTAAAGTTATTTCTCTTAAAATATGCATTGATTTATTTGTGCTGAGTAGGGATATAATTGTCCCCGGAGACGTACGTACTGGTGAAACTAGTTTTTCACTTTTCAAAATGAACTTTTCGGTCGAGTTTTCCTGTTACTTATATCCGTGCATGTCACCAAGAAAAACACACCTTCATCAAAAGAAACTATATTATTCATAAGGTCTATAGGTGGGTGAGGGGGGGGAGGAGCGTGGCCACTACGATTTTATTCGGTAGTCTTCCATATTGAAACTTAAGTAATTATGTTAACGAATGGTAAATGGACTTGACGATGGTAAGCGAACAGCTTGTATATATGTATAAATTATTACTATATGTATACGCTACGATCACAAAACTACTACAAAAGTGTAGCAGACAGTTTATAAATAAATTTTAATAGAACAAGCAGACTTTACACGACGTTTTTACCACGTTGGAGTTTTTGGTGTTTTTAATAATTCAAAGGGCTCCCGTCATTATCATTCTGTTGAATATTCAATATTTATCATCTCGCTCCACATAGGTTGATTTTAAAGTTGTATAATACGTTGAATATATATTGTTGGGATATAATAATTTATAATAATAACAATTCAAATTTACCATTTTGGGAGACGTGGTGGCTTCTAAACGAAATCGTATCTGACCACTTTTACACGTTAAACACATTTTACGCGTTAATAATAGGTTATCATAACACACATCTGATGCTTTGCACATTCTCAGATTAGTATAGTTAAAACATGGTTAAGTTAGGTTAGGTTAAGTGTATGTTTATATTTTTTTTCCGATAAACTTTATAAACTAAATGATGTTTATCTTATACTATACCAAAAGTTCCTCATTCCTTTATAAGTTTCTCGTATTTCAATCAATTTTTTTTTATTATATATTTTATCGTTTCAATTTTTTTCTTTRTTGTATTCAGAATATATGTAAAACAGAATATGAGCTTCCAATTATATTTTTGCATTTATTATTTAGCAAATATTGGCTTTTAGTTTCTAAA